GTCACTGTTCAGACTTACCTTTTTTTGTGTAGAAGCAACAGACATTTCTTCGATGGTACAATCCAAAACTCTGTGTGACAACTTCCTTGGCCTCTTTCTGTCTTGGTTTAACAATGACGTGTCTAAAGGTCAATAAAAAATAAATAAATAAAAAAATCTGTGACATCTAAAATTTTACTTTAAATAATGCTTTCTTGATATTCCACAAAACAAACATCAGCCTCTTCAGTTTCAAACTGATGCCTATTTACCAGATTCTGGAGGTAGATCTGTTGCCTCTGTATCAGTGTCAGGGGGTGTGATGCCTGGGGACACAGAGGATGTGGAAGGGGGACACTCATCCTCACGTGGACCCTGTTCAGGCTCTGCCGGGGCCTCAGGAGGCCCCACAGAAGACAAGGCTGAGGTAAGAATTTCAGGTGAGGTACTGGGATCAGGGAGAGCTGCCGCCTCTAATAACCCCTGTGTAACGACAAGCATACGGTGCACAGTTAGACATCAGACACATGCTAACATCATTTATTATGTTAAACCATGTCAACATTGACCGCACTTGTAATTTTATTTGCTCTCTCTGCATCGAACACCTGAAACAGAACTTACCGCACTAGAAGATTCAGAGTTGTTTCTCTTTGATTTGATTTTTGGAGTGAATATTTGCTCATACTCCTCGGCTGACTCCAGAAGTCTTTTACTTGGTTTCCGAAGACGTTTGATCTCCGAATGATCTGTAAAAACATACATACAAGATTCACATTTTATTTTGATGGGCGGGGGTTCACAAGGGTCACTGTTAAGACTAGCAGGAAAAAATATTAGAAATTAATTTTGAACCTTATATTTATTTTCTATCTTTTTATTTTAGTTAATACATTTATTATATTGTATAAACGCAAGCAGTAAAACCTATTTGGATTGGACAACTAGCTAGTAGTATGGTCATGTTTGGTTGATAATAAGTTAGAACATTTACTTCATCCAGCAGGTGGCAGTAATGCAGATTCAAACTAAACTGCATTAATCACATGACCTACACAGAGGGGGGTATTGTGTTTTCAAACACTTTCTGCACTGTCTCATGCTAAAGCTAATATCTGAAGTTAATCGATGATGACGATGATGATGATGATACTTTACTCTTCCTCATCATATCTAATTTACCCACAAACACGACCACATCTGAGATGTTGAAATGTCAGCTAACACTGATTGGTTGTCTATGTTTGAATACATAAGTGGTGTGAACAACTTGTGTCTTACCTGCAGTGCTACTGGATTCTAATGAGTGCAGGTCATTTGCTGCTGGTCGGGTGTCCAAATCCCCTGCTGATGCTCTGACGGAGTGACAGCCGTTTAACTTTGCCGATGCCTCATTCATAAGATCAGCTTTATTCCGTTCAACTTCCTCAAGGACCTGCCAGCGCTTCTTCGGAGCCACCGCTGATTCCAAATTCTTGATGAGGTAGCCGGCTGACAGGTCCGCAGGGACGAGGGGACCAGGGCCAGTACCAGCCAAGGCAGCATGACCGCTCACAAACTCCCGGCCGTAAGCCAACTTCCTCAAGGACCTGCCAGCGCTTCTTCGGAGCCACCGCTGATTCCAAATTCTTGATGAGGTAGCCGGCTGACAGGTCTGCAGGGACGAGGGGACCAGGTCCAGTACCAGCCAAGTCAGCATGACCGCTCACAAACTCCCTGCCGTAAGCAAAGTCTGCCAGATCAGAGGAAAGGCCGGAAACACTCGATCTCAGTTTGGCTGGAAGTTTCTGTTTTCTACGTTGCTTGTCTAAGTTTCTCATCTTGGGGTGAATGGGAACGTTTCCACAGTGGTAGGTATCAGACGACATGATAGCTCTAGTCCTGTTCTTGGTTTTGACCGCTACGTTGTAGGGTGATTTACAGTTTCCAAATTTGCCATTTTCAGTTTTAAATCCTGGAGTGAAACTATCGAACGCACCCTGCAGTAGGTCACTGTCTGCAGCTGCCGGGATCACTAATGGTTCCTCTTTGATCAGGTTGGCTGATTGAGGGATAGTCAAGGGTTTTCCATCTTTTTCTCTTGTGTCATGCATGTCCTTCAGCAGCATCAGGAAAGTACTGAATTTGTAGTTGGACTTTGGGCGAAATGAGGCGAGTTCAGAGTCACTACTGTCTTCGTTCGCAAGTGATTTAAACGTGAGTTCTTTCACGTCCTGGAACGTGTCAAGTGGAGAGAGAGATGATGATGACGGAGAGGAAGACGAGGAAATGTTCACGATGATGTTTTCGGTTTTGACCTCAACCGTAGCCACAGGAGTTTCAGCTCTGTCGGTACACTGGGGTTTGAACAGCGAGCCATTGCAAAGGAGTTTCTTGTGAGGCTTTCTCAAGCGTCTTTTTGGAGAGCTGTGGCTTGTTAAGGATGATGTATTGCCCCGATGGTCCCAGTTGGGAGATATTTCAGTTGTAAAGGCTTCATTAGCAGGAATATTTTTAGGACAATTATCACTGCAGGCATTAGTTGAGGTTTGGCTTGTAGCCAGTGCATCTTGGAGATCGGTCTCTTCCTCTGCTCTTAGAGCCCTTGTCATGAGACGACTGCTGGCGGGAAGGTTTGTAGAGTGCTTTTTAGGAGAACCGCGCGACTGTTCATCACAGCTGACTAAACTTTGTTCACTGTTTGTAACTGTAGAATTGGAATTATATGTCGACATGCTTTCACGGGGAGCAGTACAGTGGTTGGATTTCTCTGTGAACTTGGTTTGAGTTTTTGTTGAACCTTGTTCCATTCCAACCACGTCCTTAACCGGAGTCACGGACGTGCGTTTAGAACGGTTCAACAGTGGAACTGAGTCCAGGTCAGCATACGGAGAGCTCTTATGCACTTCTTTGGGTGGGGACCAAGTGGTTGCACATAACTGATCAGTCACATTTAGGCCAGTTGAACTTTCCATTGTTCCGCTAACTATGTGCCCGAATATGTCTGATAAACACTTTTTCTTTTTCTTGTAGACTTTGCTGGGGGTTTTGGTGAGGTAGTGCTCATTTTTACTGGGAGGTGACAGCATTCGTCCTTGGTCCATAGACGTGGAAGAAGAAGAAGACGGGGCCTTCGCTAGCTGTTCAGGGGGCAGTGGACTGGGCACTCGCTCCTCTCCATTATTGGACACCGGGAGCACACTTTCATTATTTCTTCGTTGAATGGCGAGAAGGTATTCAGCTTCTGCCACACCGACTTTCCATGCAGTCAGTAAACTTTTGGGTATCTGCCAAGAAGGGAATAATTTTTCATAATGATGTTCACACGCAGTCAAATGAAACTTAAAGTGATTTAATACCGTACACTTACCGTGTATTTATAGTCTTTCTCCTTTTGCCTCCCTCTCCTCCTCAGCACAGGTAGGTTTTCAAACTGATGTCCTCCTTCAAAAGGAAAAATGGCACTCCCTTGAACCCAGGCGCATTCCTCATGCTTCCCTAATGTCTCCAGGAAATACATCCGACATGGACGGGGACTGGGAACTGAGAGAAAGCGTATTATTTGTCCAGGTGAATTTCTTTTGTGTAGTATTAATAGACATCTTAATAAAATCATTATTTACAAAATTATACCTTTCATCTTAGTGTGTGTGTCCTGTTGGGGATCACAGGTCACCTGACACGGCCACCAGGGCCTTCTGTTGAACTTTGCCCAGACCAGGTCTCCTTCCAGGTATTTCACTGTAGGAAGAGGTTTTTTCTTTGGGCTGCTTGACTAAACCAGGAACAACGAAAAGTGTATTATTAATTTTACACCACCCACAATGATAGAGGTATTTGTACACACCAGTGTTGTATAACTAGAAACCTTAGTATTATAGTTCTAGTCACAAAAAAGGTTTGAGTGAAATCTAACAGGTCACAGTCTGTGTTTGGTTCTCGCTGTTCAAAAAAGTCAAGCCCAAGTCAGAGAAAGAAAACCAACAATTGTATACCATACGTCATTCAAATACTCATACTTTAAAACACGAGTCGTCTTTTTTTAAAACATTAACTTCTGTCAGGACATGGCCAGTTTAAAGACTTTCTGTTTCAGTTTCAATCACTTTTGAACCTGCTTGGCAGAGAAGTATGAAGGTTCTGCTGCTGGAGTCGTGGATAAAAGTTCTCTGATTAATAAGGTAACTTACATTGGAGTTGGTGCCACTTGGTGAAATAAGTCCAGGGTCAACGGGAGAAGTAAGCTCATAGTCACTCGCAGAGTCCTCGTCCACATTCCAACTGTCTCTTATATTAATTTCTGGCAGTGCGCTGGGGCTTAGTGTCGGGTTGAGTTCAGATATAGTTTTGGACATTAGGTTAAAAACAGTAGGTTTGTATGTTTTTCTGTCCGCCACATTCTCACACGAGGTCATTCCGTCGGTAACATTTCGTTCCTGACGCAACTTTTGTGAATGTAGAAAAGGCTTCGAGTCCTCGCTGCCGCTGTGACCCCCCTCCTCGTCCTCCTCCTTGAGGTCACTGCTGTAAAAGAGCTTTGATTCAAAATGCAGATATCCGTTTGGGATGGGAGAACAGCCCAATAAGCTGTCGGGGCTCCGAGGTGAAAATCC